ACTAGTCGTCTATTATATGGACTTATACATGACCAAATTGGCAAAAATAAAAAATAAGTATATAATGAACAAAAGATTCGTACCATAACTTTGTATTTTGTCTTTTTTTAGTATGGCTATCTATTTATTTTAATATCTTCATTTTTTTATATTAGTCTCATTTCTTTTCTTATAATTATACATTAATTCGATAAAATTTCTCTTTAAACTTAGGTACTTTGTGGTTATAATTATTTTTAAATAACTTTTCTCATTTTACCATTCAACTTTTATTCTGTGTATAACATTTTTTACAATATTTTAATCATTTTGTAAAATTAATTGTAGGCACTTAAATTTAGAAAACCTGTGCATGACATTAAATTTAATACGTCTTTGAAACTAAAGTTTAAAGCTTATATCATCCACAAATAACATATATTTAAGGATATTGTATATTTCTAATAATCACTGTAGGCAAGATAAAAGAAAATTATAAAGTTAAGTTGATTGCATATATGTTTTGGAGGAAGAAAATGCTGAAATCATCACGACTAAAAAGAAAACTTTGATAACTTTATAGAGTTTAAAAGTAAATTTTGATAATTTTATAAGAACTAAAATTAAATATAATTTTTTAAATAGTTTAATGACATATAACTCGATTAATCACATCAACAATTAACAGAGATTAAATAATAGTAAGATAATTTTGATTATCTTATATTATTAAAGATTAAATTAAATTTTTTTATAGAGACTAAACATAAATTTTAGCAATTATATAAAAATTTAAAATATATTTAATCTTTTATTTTACTTATTTGTGTACAATAATGTTAATTTTGTCTTATAAGTTCTTCAAACAAAAAGAAAAGAGAGAAAAGATAATTATATTATAGTTAAGAGTATTGGTAAGAAAATTTGAGATAAGTTTATTTTAGTTAATATAAACTCAATTTTTTTAAGATCATTTATTTGATCTTAAATTTAATCTGATTAAGATATAATAACATATATAAAATGAGTATATCAATCAACTTAATTTATTGACATAATCATTGTAACATTAAATTAGAAAAAATATTGAAAATTAAAATAAATTGAAATGTATTTGATAGTATATATTTAAAATTAAATTATATCAATAATACGATGTGTTATAAAAAAATGTTATTCAATGAAGTCTTAACACGTGCATGATAATTTTTTTTTAAAATAATATACAAAATTTAAAAACAAGATGCTTTTGGATGGAGATCACTCGATGTTTTTAAGTAAATTCATCTTTAATTATATATATAATACATTAATAGTGTATTTTGATAAATTACAGTAAAAAATTTGTTGAACAAATTAAAAAAAGTTTATAGCTAGTCTAATTTCTTTTGAAAAAGCCGTAAGTCCAATTTCAAAACCTAAAACTCATCAACATTAGTTTGAGAATGGGTTATGTTGATAGAATAAGGTGAGTCATGAATACCCGGCCTTAGCTAAAAAGTTGAAGGTAGTAAAACATGATAAATAAACATACGATAATTATTTTCTAAACAGTATATCGTAAACAAAATATATACCATCTATCTATTCTATGCCTACCATTAGCAATTAGATTTTACAACTAATCACTCGTGAAAACATGTAAAAACGTTTCTAGTTTCTACAATTAAACTGTGCATCTAAAATATTGGGTTACGCTGAAATAGTGGACCAGTGGTTGATCAATCACAGAATAAGAGAGAAGGCCATACTAAACTAACATAAAATAAGGTACCAGAATTGATTAAGTTTTACAATAATGAATATAAAATCCCCAACGCAACACATATACTTGAGATTTGATGAGTTAAACTTTGATTAATTGAGCATGAATCAGATCACATGCAAGTCACGGGGCAGTGAGAGATGTGAAGAGTCATGCTTGCATCAGACGAGACTTGAATATAAACGGAGCTTAGTAAGCATGATTCAATGATTTTAGTGTAGAGTAATGGAAGCCCACCACTTTCACATGGACGTCGTGTTTATAGAACATTAAGAATGTGGCCACCATGAAATGAATCTAACCACAAGCCATTTCCCCTCTGCCCTTCTGTCACCCCTCTCTTTATCTAACACATGCACATACCACATATGCAATCAAAATTGTTGTTTCATTCTTATTTCAGTTTAATTATTTTACGAGCAAACCTGAGAGAGAGTGTGTGAGACAGAATAAAATAACAGACATACTAATGTTAATGCTGTATATTTATTTATAGTACATGATGTTCTTACATGTATTAAAGGATAGAATAAAAAATTAGTCGATAATAAGTTTTTATTAAAGATTATAATATTTAACATTCTCAACACGTTAAGTATTGTTTTAAGATATGTATTTTAATAAAAAAAATTGAAAAATAATCATTATAGAGATTAAAATTAAAATTCACAATTATTTTGGAAAAAATGCATTAAAATAAAAGAAAATTGTGTTACATCTATAATATATACAAGCATAATGTTTATCTTCACGCATTTCTACAGCATTATAAACCGAGGGTGCCGCCATTGAAAATGGTCCATTGGGTGTCTTGGTGAGGGAAAGAACATGTTGTCCCTTTCTTGCTCTTTGAATTAAATAATGCATGGCCGGTTGAAAAGTGAGTCTTGACTCTTGACGTATGGGAATCGGAATAAATTCTGTTAAGAGCTTTAATTCATTGTCTTCATGTTCTTACTACTCCAACTGATAATGATTGATGAGCTAAAACTCTGCATTTTCTGTCTTTCTTATGTGCTTGACTTTCTAAGTTTCTGTTGAATGACAATGATGCAGCCTTGAATAATGTCTACCTTTCTTATTTCTTTATTTTTCTCCTATACAGCCATGAATCGTGTCTAAATTAATATAATAAGGCACATCAGTTTTCTCTATCACAAGGCCACTAATATTTGGGCAACCACATGCTTTAATGTTTAAATTAAAATCACATGGCATCATTCCCGAGGGTCAAACATTTTATAATTCTCTCTATAATTCTATCCTCACAACATAATTATGCCGTGCTTAATTAGGACTAACTTAATTCAACCTTTCTGAAACTTTGATGAAAAATGGAAAAAGATGAACATAAGTTTTGCAATTTATGTCACAATGAAACAAATTTTGATAAATTTTTGCTAGCATTGGTAGTATAATGGACATAACCTTCATAAGATCCAAAATGCACATGCAGTGGCAGTGCAATAAATGGAGGAATGCTTGCTTGCAAGCCTCTCCGGATGCATTGCAGGTCCAACTTGCATAGCCATTCACTGCCAAACTTTTGTCTCAATTGATTAGGAGCAGGCAGCATCTGATGCTTAATTTGCAGCACATGGAAATGACAATGGTGTTTCCTTCATAAATTCAACAAGGCCATTCCTTCAGTAAAACAACAGGTTTATCACCACTGTCACATAACAATAAAATGGTGGCGTCATGGCTAGTGAAGTTTTGATTTTAGACATGACATCTTGTCATAGGCTACCAAATCACCTTTGTCTTGGCATATTTTTTAAGAAGTTAGTATACAAGGACAATCATACAGGGCACTCTTAACTACTAAAGAAAAAATATTATATATTATTTCAGTTCTTGAAACATACATGTTTTCTCGATTTATTTTTACAGTCTATTTTTTCAATCAATTGTTTTAAGAATTTTTTTAATCTAGAGACTAAAAAAATAACAAATAGTAAAATTAATTAATAATTATAACATTTAATGTTATTGTATAATTTTTAATACATTAAAATTATGGTTTTAATATAAATTTATCATATATATGTACATATGGATCAAATTAAATTTGAGATAATTAAACTAAGAAATACTTATTATATACGAAATATTAAATAATATTTTGTAGTTAAAATAAGTGCAAGGCAATAAAATATAACAGATGCAGCTAAATATTTTATTTTAACATATGAAGGACAAGGTGTTAGAGTTTAACCATCATAAGTTCCTAACTCCTGATTGAACTGTCTATCAGAGAATATAATTCTTAGGTACATTGCTCTTGAAACGAAATGTTGTATAAGGTGCAAATGCATGCAGAAAAAACACACCAGACAAGAAGAATCAGCTTTTCAGCCATACAATTAACATGTGATTCGTATACAGCACCCTTTACTCTTTAATCAACTTCTTAAGTACCCTTCCCTCTTCTACTCTTAACACTAGCCACCAACCCATCTGAAGCACCAGTACTTATATGCTGTAATGTTTTCATTATGCTAACAAATCAATTTCCAAGGTAGAAGAAACATCACTGTTGATTGCCCCCCTTGTCCCCTAAGGTAAGAAATACACTGGCACCACAACCCCTCATGGTTTCCATTATTCAACACTTAAATGATAAATTATAACAATTTTAACAAACCTTGCTTCTGTGTCCCTCAATAACATCTTAATGCTAGCCTAGATTCCAGGCCTTTGAAGGAAACTTTTGGCTATAACTCACAGCACTGTTTGCGCTAGCCAGGATTATTTAAATCCACCCCTTACTTATACTTCGAAGAAAGACATAAGGTGTAAAATTAAATCAAATATAAAACAAGTTCAATTATGCACACGATCATTTAGAGATAATTTATACTATTGAATTATGGTTGAGAAGATGATATTATTGAATTGATGACAAGGGGAAGCAGGGGAGCACATAACAGCAATGTCCTGTGTCCTTTGAGTACCACCACAAATTTCTAAAACCTCAACGCACTCTATCTTAGCACCACAGGATTAATTAAATCACTATAGTTATAGAATTGTTGGCCTAAACTATAACAGAGCAATCGGAAAGGTAGGGAGACCCACATTGTCATCACATGCATGCACATATTACTACCCAAATAGTTGGCTTGCACACTTTAAGATCCTAACTTTAGGTCCTCCTTTAACATGTTCCTATAAATAGATTGAAAGCATACTAATTGACCAATCAAGCATCCTTGTGATTGGTGCACATTTCTAGGTAAACAACAAAGAAAAGATGGAAGCAATTTCTACATTGCCAAGCACCCATCAACCAGTAAGGTCCATTAGTTTGCCCCCTAGAATACACCCTTCTTCTCAAAGAGTTGAAGCATTATTGAACCATCTCAAACCTCACCATCACCATCAATCCCAATCTGTTGCAAGCACCATTTGTTTGGATGCAGAGACAATACAAAGCGATTTGGTTTTGCTTGCTGAGTTATACAACTGCATGCAGGAACTCTTCCATTCTCGACAGACCCACCAAGCTCTTTTGCGCTACCAGGATGGGAAACTGGTGGAAGAGGCATTATGTGGCTCAGTCACACTTCTAGATGCATGTGGAGTAGCAAGGGATTTATCATTGGCTCTAAAAGAACATGTGCAAACTCTTCAATCAGCTATACGTAGAAGAAGAGGGGATTCAAGCATTGAAAGAAGCATTTGTGAATATGATAACTTCAGGAAGAAGGCCAAGAAGGAAATTGCCAAGCAACTAAGTGCATTGAAGAGAATGGATAGCAAAGTTATTTGTTTTTCTGTAATGGGTGAAGATCAACATATAGTATTCTTGGCCAGGGTTCTAAGAGATGCAAGCACAATCACAATCTCTATATTTCGTTCCCTTTTTCTATTCCTGTCAATGCCAGGACTCAGAACAAAGGGGTCCTCCATGATCTCAAAGCTGAAGCCAATGAGGTTGTTTTCTTCTGAGAAAGAACAGGAGAACACTAATGTTGTAGACCTCAGTGCTGTGTGCTCCCACATTGGAAGAGGAAAACACAGTGATTACAAGGTTGAAGTTCAAAGTGCACTGAAAGTGTTAGAGACACTGAATGTTAGTATTGATGGTCTTGAGGGTGGATTAGATTGCATTTTCAGACGTTTACTCCAAAATAGAGTGTCATTTCTTAATATGCTTGCTCATTAAGCACAATAATGAGTGAAGCTTAAATCAATCAATTGTAAATGTGAATGAGAGTGGTCATGTAGTCCGCATTTTAAAGGATTTGCTCTCCACAAATCAATACATGTGTTTGAATGAAAGTATCAACTTGATTCAGAATTACACTGTGCCTTATCAAATTTTCCATATTCTAGCTCCTTTTTCTTTTTTTGCTTTTTGCATTATTAATATCTTTTGAACGTTCAAAATAGAAAGCCATTCACTCAAGCTAGTAATGAACATTTGGCAGACTGTAACAATCTATAACTTTAAACATATCATGAATTTTAATTGAAATTTCACAATAAATGTCTCTTTTTTTTGTCGTAAATTATAATATTTCAAATATATACTTAATTTTATAATATTATTTATTAATTTATCTTTTGTTTAAATTACACAAACATGTATATATACAGTAGTTGAAGAGAGAGAAGTGTGGGCATGAAGATAAAATTGTGATTAAAATTATGAATCAATTTTAGAATTTTAAATTAGAAAATAAAATTATATGTAATGTCATAAGTAAATATTTTATAGCTATATTTTATTATTTGAATGTTAATTTATAATTATAGTATAATTTATAGTAATAATTATATTTATATGTATGATAATTGAGTAATACATATTATAATCAAAGAAAGAAAATAGTGTGAGAAAGTGAATAAAATAGTAATCATTAATAAATTATTTTTTTAATTATTAAAAATTATATTTTAAATTTTTTATAGTATGATATTATAGTAAAAGAGATATTTTCATTTGAATTTCTTTCGATAAGTAAAAGAGAGGTTTATTTAGTAATACAAACAAATGATGTTTTGTTTGTTTTTGTTTTTGTTTTTAGCCAAAGAATGATTTAAGGTATCACATTGAGTTTAAAAATATAATTTATAATTTTTTAGAGTTTATTTTAATAAATTTCATTATTAAATTTATAGTATATACATTTTTATATAATAAAAGCTTAACAATAAACACTTAGGGGGAAATACGGTATTGGGATAGCACATTTCAAAACCTGCTTCAACATGTACTATCCTGCTGGCCGTTCTACAAAGCTATTTGAATAAAGTTTTTAATAAATATTTATAAAAAGAAAAATAGAGAAGTAAAGTAATTTTTAAAAAAAATTTAAATTAAATTATATATCTCAAATTTTATAAAAATTAAGTAAGAGTTTCTAAAAAAATTATAAATATAAGTTAATTTTAAGTTCTAAAAATATAAATTTATTTAATTATTTTATAAATATTTATTAAGAAATCTATCTAATTTAAACGTATAAGTTTGTGACAGATATTTATATCTATAGTTGGTGTTTTTTTTTTTTTAATCATTATTAAGGTAGAAAAGGGCTAAGGCCCAAACAAACAACGCACCTTGGAGCAAATACAGAAAAAAATAAATCTAGACCAAAAATTGAAAGCTACTCCTTATTTGGTTATAATTATAAAAGTATTATTTATTTTAATAGATATTTTATACTTTAGTTTTTTCTACAAACTACTCAAATACTTTTTTTTGAAAAAAAGATAGACTAAATTATTTTTAATTTCTGATTTTTTTTTATAATCTTAACCAAATGAATAAAAGAACTTCAAGTTTTTTTTTTAAAAAAAAAGGTAATATTTTCATAAATTAATTTTTTTTTTTGTTTTTGGTCATTTTCATAAATTAATCTTAAACATATGGTCCAATTAAACATACGGGCTTCACGAGAAAAAGTATTTTGTTTGATATAAAATTCAATTCTTTGTTTTTTTATTTCAATATATCAAAGTCAATTGAAATTAAGATAGTCTTTTCTTTTGGGCCTAACTCATTAATATGAAGTCTGTGGAATGGTAGTTATATCCATAATTCCCAATAAAGCTTTAGATCATTTTTCTTTGTGTTTTAGTCTGGTCAACACTTTAACTCATTACAATACGATAAAAACATTCTATTCTGAGATCAATGGAAATTCATTGGGCCTTCTCCTCGTAAGATGGGTACCATAAGTATTTGCAAAGTGATCCAAGTGTGCATGCCCATTTAATTATTTTGTATATGAAATATAGTGTTGACAAAAACAATGGCATATGAAGTACAGCTAAAACGAAAGATTGTTTTTTGAGAAAAAAAAAAGAAAAAGAAAAACGAATGAAAGAGTGTTCTGACCACAAACAAAACATTGATCAAATTAAGAGCATGTTTGATTCTTTTTTCAACTATTTTTTAAAAAGGAAATCAAACATTATTTTGTTTTATTTTAGCTTTTATATTTTTGTTTAATTTTAATTGTCTTATTAATTATAATAAAAAAGTTAATCACAATAGACAGAAAAATTATAAATATAAATAAAGTATGGCAACTTATTAAAAGAATAGACCAATAAAATAAAAATAAAAATAAAATAACCAAGCTAAAATTTCATGAAGGTTTGAGTATCAACTTGAAAACTTCATAAAGGTAAAATTCAGTACAACAATAATTGGTTGGATCTATTCTTAGAGGCATAATGAATAACTTATTCAATTAATCAAAATTAATTTAATTAATTTAATTTAAATTATCGATTTGGTCACATTGATTGGACCCAAATAACCGGTACATTACATCAAACTTGGGAGAACAAGCCACATGAATACGGTCAGGTTCTATGAATAAGCAGCAGCACAGCCACATGCCAAGACCTAATGAGGAGAAAATTATTAGATGACGTTGGACCACTGTATATCTATAATTTATTTATAATTTTAGTCCATTATAATAAATTATTTATTATTTAAATAAAATTAATTAATATATATATATATATATATATATAATAATTTTTACACAGTAATTGACGGAGATTATTAAACATTAAGTTCTGGAGCTACTTAATAATTTGTTCTAGACTGACCAATATATCTTTGTTTAAGAGATATAGCCAGCAATTATATATGAACGCGTACGTGTCAATCTTACCAGCAGGATACGCGTCCTCCTTCACGTACGTCGAGGTTGCTCAAGAAAATCGGGGATTATAAAATATGAAGATTCTTTGTGTATCTAATTGCAATTAAGCAAGCATGGTTAAAGACAAAGTAGACCTATACATACAAGGAGTACATGCCACTCGTGCACACAATATATTAAAACGCTAAATACTCATAAACCCATTGTTCTTGGAATTTAAAAAGAATTATCTAAAACTCAAATTATTGCGGATCTCAAACCTTTAATCCTTTTTCTTTGCAGTTCAAGCTCCTTCATATCGAGACAACCCAAGCAGTGGATCCAATTTTATATTTGATATTAAGAGGGTAATGTGGCATGAGAGGAGGCAAACTAGGTGATGACTAACGAGGATTTTTGTTTACCTACACGCGGAGAACAAGCCAGGTATGCTCCTCAAAGGCTCAAACCCATTTTACTAATTAGAATATCACATCATTATGCATATAATAGAGCACAATGTCAGGCAGAGATGTGACAAGTTAACCGAAATCCAAGGAAACCCATGCATGTACCACATGCCCCACACGTTAATCAAGTAAGCTCATTTGTGCTACCCTTTTAATTTTATTTTATTTTTTCCCTATAGCTCTAGGAATAATTGGGGATAGCCCCTATATAAAGTGAGAGGCATGAACTTGGTTAGAGCATCCCAAATTGAGGTTCTATTGAAGAGAAATATACAATAAAAGAGCAATCATGGCACACAAGTACCAAGTTCGCTCAATTAGTTTGCCTTCTAGATCTCATCCTAGCACCATTAGAGTAGAAGAGGAGTTGAGCAAGCTCAAGACATGGGAAGGAACATCAACATCCACTTCTGAGTCCATTGACACTGGCCTATCCTTACTTGAAGATTTGTATATTTCCTTGGATGATCTTCTCAACATGGCATCAACCCAAAAAGTGATTTCCCACTATAAAGGTGACAAGTACGTGGAAGAGGTGTTGGATGGTTCAGTGAGAATTTTGGATATATGTGGCATTATAAGGGACACCATGTTGCAAATTAAGGAAAATGTTCAAGCCCTTCACTCTGCTCTTCGAAGAAGAAAAGGAGATTCAAGTGTTGAAACAAGTGTGGCTGAATACAAATTCTTCACAAAGAAGATGAAGAAAAACGCAAATAAGTTGATCACATCTTTGAAGCATATGGATAACAAATTTGGGGTGTCCCCACTCTTAGATCTTGATTACCACCTTGCTGCTGTGATTAAAGTGCTCAGGGAAGTGATTCTAACGAACTTGTCAATCTTCCAATTTGTTTTGTCATTCTTGACCGTGTCTTCATCAAATTCAAAGGCAACCAAATGGTTGGCGGTGGCAAAATTGATGCACAAAGGGGTAAAACCATGTGAAGATACCTCAGAGAATGTCAATGAGTTGCAGTGTGTGGAAGAAGCTTTAAACACCCTTCTAAATGAAGGCACTAATGATGAAAAGATGCAGGTAGCTCACGAAAGACTAGAGGCTTTGGAAAATGCCATTGAAAATGCTGAGAATGGCTTGGAGAGTGTATTTAGGCGCTTGATTAAAACTAGAGCCTCCCTTTTGAACATAATCTCCCAATAGAGTATTTTTCATAGCAATTATTCTCCAAATCCTGCAATGCATCCAAGTTTTAGGGATCTGCTGAGGAATTAAAACTTTTACCTTAATGACTTGTACATGTATAGAACTCAAAAGTAATACTCGAAACGTAAAAAAAAATGTTTATTCCCTATATTTTTGTGTCTTGTGTTGTTAATCATATTTTCTCAGTCAAAACAGCTTCTGTTTACATTTGACATATTCTCTGCCTATAGAAATAAATTGCTAATATAATGTTTGGGGAATAATATCTAATGAGAAATTGGAGCAAGTAACTTTAGATTTAGGACTACCTGACATAATAGAAATATTTCAAAATGTGTTCATAACTAAGCAAATATTTGAAAATGTCTACGAGTTAAAACCGAAATCGATTTTTTTGGTCTCACATAATAGAAAAATAGATTAATCACTCTACAGTTACGGTTTCAATTAGTTCAAACTTGAGACTTCATAGTCATTGATCTCATTTCATAGATTATGGTAAATTCGGCTTCAGGGGTGTTCAGTTCCATTCCAGTGAAAATCGTTTTAACTAGATTTTTTCTTAATTTAATTAAAATATAATAAATACATTATTTTCTCATTTATTTTACATTATTTTTAAATAAAGTTAATTTTTTTAAAACCAAATTTACATAAAAATATGATATATAAGAATAATTTTAAACTATTTTAAAAATATTACTTAAGCATGTAATCATAAAAATAATAAAATAAATTCTAAAAATAAGATATTAAAATATAGTTAAGAATTATAATTTTATTAATACATAATATTATAAGTATGAGTGATATTTTAATTTTATAAATATATTTAGTTTGGATTAGATTGGATTGATTTTTAAAATAAAATCTAAATACAATTCAATTTAATAGAAAAATAGGTTTTAATTCATTATTTTTTGTAATTGTATTGAATTGAATGAACATTTCTATCTTAAATATTTTCTTTTCTTTTCGTTATACAATAATAATTCAGAACGGAGATATCGTCGAGTATGTAGGAATTTTTTTCGTCATTGTATTTTTAGTTCTTTTAATTTAATATACAAGCAATTTGAATTTTTTTTTTTAGTTAAGTCTTTTAAAATTTTTTAAATTTGGTTATTTTCTCTACAAAATTTTGAGGAGTTTCTGATAACCTTTTTGTATAAAAAAAATTAAATACTTAAAAGTGAAAAAATAGAAATATTTTGATAAAATTTTATTAAAAAATAAGATATGAGATTAGAGCTTATAAAAATAAAAGTTTCTATTTTTTAATATTTTGACAGAAATTAAACATTTGAATTGGTGTATTCTAAGAAAAAAAAGTTTAAAACAATTTATATATTTCAATTTATTAAGACTTTGGAGTAAAAGTACAGAGATAAAGAATATTTGATAAAGTGAGTATTGATGAATTTTTTCAATTTAATGGTTAATTTCGAATAGTCAAGAATAGTTGCTGCTAAAGAAGTGAAAGAGATGAAGATGATAAATTAGTAAATCTTCTTTAAAATGATTGTAGTTATATTCATAATTAATTTCTCCATTATGTTGTAAATAAAATATGCTTGAGGCATATAGACGTAGAAGATATAAGTGGGAGGATTTATGATGGCAAAGAGAAAGGATTTCTAGATTTGGACCTAAGTGTTCAAACTCTTGAACTTCATTCACTTCACAGTGACATTTGAACCTTATAAAGTCTCAATTATGACTACATCTAGAAATTTTATAAATCGTTTTTTTTGTTGTTGGTTTTAGCAAAACTCTCCTTTTACTAAAGTCATAGGGTGACCTAACATGGTAAAAATAGCCTTCTTACAATAAGTTAATATGTGTCTTCAAACTCATGACTTTTTCTTTATCTTCTCTTGCATCAACAGTCATGCGCTTGGGTAAATTTCTTTGATAATGTCTTCATGAATTTGGTTGAATTTTTTCATGTACTACCATTTCTTTCTAATTATTTCTTACGTAAACTCTTCATACTCTTCTTCCTCTAAGATCATCTTTTGTTTAAGTAACAATTTTCTTTGCTACAAATCAATAAATATCTAATATTTTGCCTGGATTTTGAACCTAAACCTATCCTATGAAAGTACCAGGGTTGTGTTAGATGTTGGTATTAGTGTTGGATGTTATTAGTCATTAATAACTTCCTCACGTTGTTGGAAACTTTAGCCAACTTCAAATTCTTGCCTTTTTTTTTTATGGAATAAACTTCTTTGGTGTCATTTTAAAAGAATTTAAAATATTAAAATAAATATTTAGTATTTATAATAAATTTACTTAAATGATTTTTTTTTTAAGACAAAGTTACCTGCTTAAATGAAATAGGACCCATCAAACAATGATCTTCTGTCGTCATCTTTCTTTAAACGAACTTAATGTGCTGAAACAAAATTAACAGTGAAAAGACACCATATAGGACACACAGCAATGGGCATACAATCTAAATAACCTATTTCTATCCTGCTTATTCTATTACACTAAGTCAACAAATATAAATATTACATATTATAAATTCCTAAACTAACATTAATTGCTTAAATAATTTCAATAATCATTCATGTTTTGCATAACTTGGAACATCAAAGGGATAAAATCATAATAGAAAAAAAAAGTACTTAAAGATTAAATTTGATTTTGTGATCATGGATTTATAGTTATGATAGAGATTAGAGAAATAAGTTTTAATAGAAGGCTTAGTGAAATATAAATATTTGTAAATTTTTTTCTTCTTCACTTTTATTTTTAAATGCTGTAGCCCTTATAAATTTTGTTTAAGTGAAAAATTGTTTACACAAAAGTTTACTTATAACTCTCTTTTTTGCTTAAATTTTATTAAATATTTTAAAAATAAATTTTTTCTTGCTTAAATAAATTTTTTGCCATTTAAGCGATCAAAAGTTATGGTATGTGGTATTTTAAGTTTTACATAAGATAAAATTTCTCCCTCGAGGGAATATTGATTCATTTTGGTTTTAAGTGTATATCTGAACTGAAGATTATGCTTACACAAAAATTGGAGTGATCCGAATCCACCGCCTAACCTCATACTGACTTTATATGCGTGGAGGTCCTATTGTTTTGTTCTTTATTATTATTTTCAAAAATTATTAACAAAATAAGTCATTGATGACAAAGCGGGTAGTTGAAACGGTATCGTCTTTCTCGCATTGATGTGGGCCAGCGCCTGGAGAGGTGATTATCATGATTGACGGCCCTACTCGTCTCGTTTCTTGTTTGTTTTAGCAGTGATGCCATTCATTTGTTTCCTCAAGGGCGTCGTCTCACATTGGACAAAGAGAAAAAAAAAAAAAAAAAGCTTTATCATCGATTATCAACATATCCCATCACTAATCACTTATATTCATGAAAGGCCAACAAGACTATTGCTAGACTACGAACTTCTTCCTTATACAAGAGATCTTTGATTAGGAATTCATTCACACAAGATCTATTCTGTAGGATATTTGAAAGAGACTAAAATCCTCATCCTTGTATAATAACAATTATGTTGATACAAAGAATAATATAGAAAAATCTTAAAGTAACCACCGAATTCATAATGCCTACAGGCAACATCGTAAACAACGTGCTGTTCGTGCGGCAGAAATCATCTTTCTTTCGTTTTTATCTTCACTCATTCTCCTACTATCGTCTATATATGAAATTAAAAAAGAAAAGCTTTGATTGTAACCGACCTTCATGTACAAAATAGCAGAGGTACCGTAACTTTAGCGGTGGCTTTAGCTCAGATTCATTGAAAGATAGAGGCAAAAGCACAGGGATTGGTCCTTTTAATCTCTTCTTTCTAGAGGACAGCGAAATTATGAGATCCACACCTTTCCCGTATGTAACACGAATAATATTTCATCAAAAAGGTGTTACACGTACATAAAGGTGTTTCATTTAAACTATGGGTCGTTTACTTGCTTGCCCGTTGACTTACGGTTAAATAATCGAAAAATTCATTTTAAATTCTCTTATTGTTTTTAAAATGCTTAAAATTAACTTTCACAATTGATATTAACAAAATTATTCAAATATTATTTTTATATTCTGTATTTAGAAGCATGCATTTTAATAAAAAAATTATTATTATGACTGACGATGACACGTCCTACTTACGTTAAACGGTTGCAAATTGATTATTAAAATTAATTTTAGTTAAATTTAAATTCAACATACTTTCTGATCAGGATGTGACAACATAGCTACGTCAAACAAAAACACAACAAACTTAATCCATGTTCATTTTTATCAAATGTCATCAAGGCCTATAAGAAACCAGTGGACTTCCCTCCTCGCTTTCTATAGAATATCTACTGGTGTCTATGCATAGGTATTAACAGTAGGAGACTACTTCGTCGAGGTTATGTCCAAATTAGCCACCCTTTATGAAGAAAAGAGCAAGTTTGGCTACGTTTTCCCCAAAACGTTCAAGCAGGTATGGTGTTAGATCCATTAGTTTACCAACTAGCTCGCATCCAAGCACTGTTAGAATTGAAGAAGAGCTGAGCAAGTTTATATCATGGGAGGCATCATTAATATCAAAAGTGGAAACAATTTGCTTTGGTCTATCTGGCCTAGCAAATTTGTACAAATGCATAGAAGATCTTCTAAAATTGCCATTGACCCAACAAGCCCTAGGCCAGCACCAGAATGAGAAATGGGTCAATGAGCTATTAGATTGTCCAGTGAGATTTTTGGACCCATTAGCCAAAACAAGAGATTCCATTTTGTCAATGAAAGGAAGTGTTGAAGAACTTCAGTCAGCACTTAGAAGGAGGAAGGTTGGAGACTTAAACATGGAAAGTCTTCTTTCTACATATTGGACCCTTAGAAGGAACATGAGGAAAGAATGCACAAAATCTCTTCTTTTATTGAAGCAAATAGATGAGTCATTTGGGGCCCCTACAGTGTTGGATCTTAATGACCACCTCTATGCAGTGGTAAGAGTGCTTAGAGAAACTAGTTTGATCGCCAGCTCCATCTTTCAGTCACTTCTTGTGTTCCTTTCTTCACCAATCTTGAAATCGAAGCCTAATAAGTGGGAATTTGTCTCAAGATTGATGCAGAGAGGGGTGTTTGCTTGCAATAATCAACAGAAAAATATAAATGAATTGGAAAAGGTGGACTTAGCACTTAGCAGCTTGATTATGGACCATATGAGCAAAGATGCTGAAGCTGAGAAGATTCAATCAGCACATGAAAGGTTAGAAACTTTGTTGGTAAGCATTGAAGAGATTGAGAACAGATTGGAATGCTTGTTTAGGCGCCTTATTAATACTAGAGTGTCTTTTTTGAATATATTTTCTCCTTAAGGTAAGTAAAATATGATAGACTTGAATAATTAAGAACTAAAGTGCAATAAGGCCTTGTGCATATCACAGTTTCTAACATTTTCCAAATGTACAAACAGAGTTGTTATATATATGTAATTCCTATTTCCTACATGTTTGTTCTTCATTGAACTTCTATATCTTTCCAAATTTTCCCCCTTTTACCAGAATACTCATCGTCTGTTATTTTCAGAAAATAGAAAATTTCAAGTCTCTTTCAGTAGTGACCTCAAATTTTGTCATTTCTACAAAGCAATGACATTAAACACATTGACGATTGAATTGGATAATTTAATCCATAGTTTAAATAATGTTTCAGAATGTCACTGGGCATATAGCTCGTGACTGGGGCAGGCGGGAATTAAGGTAGAGATAGCATATTTAAATTGTTGTAATTCTGTGTACATTTTGTGAACGTTTATCGAAGTATACAAAATAAAAATAATAAATAATAATTCTTATTAAAGATTATAATATTCAACATTATTAAATATTGATGCGTTAAGAAAAATATTATTCTTATTCTTAAAATAGCCACAATTCGACTATTATTTAAAGTCCTCCTGCAAATAAAGAGCCACCGTGGCGTCTTATTTTGCTCCCAATTTTGTTCTTGTTTTTATCGATCATTGGATACCGACCCCACCCACCCTAAAAAAAGCCAGAACAACGGTGTCATTATCATTTCCCAGTGCTCATCAGTCACAGAACGTAAATTGCTAAGTGCAAATATATCAGTTCTTTATAATACTTTTTATTATATTACTTTTTAATCTTTTTATTACAATATCTTTTCATGTATTTTCTTTTCTTACTTTTTATTGTAAAAAATTGTAAAAATTTATTATATAAATGCAATTTCTCAAAATCTATAGTGCATGGTTTAAGCGGGTAACTTAGATGAGTGCGACATGACTCTATAGTTCGGTGAAGTAACATTATTGGTAATGGTTACCTAACCATAAATGATTTTAGGGTGGGTGTGATAATTTGCAAAACACTGCCGCTGATTCCCAAGTGGCAACTTGCACGAGCATGAACTGCATGACACAAAATTATTAGTAATGAAGTTGGTGACAAGAGGAATGATGCACTTATGAGTATAGAATTTTTAATTTATTCCGTTGGTTGTAATAAGTGGAATTAGGGTCCTGTTAGTTTCTTTATTATTTTGAGAAAAATAGTTAGGTATTAGTTGCCAAAATTGTTGGACAGGCTTCTAAAAATAGAAGTTAGTGGTTATTTGGGAGGGGGAGGGGGCAAACACAGTTGTATTAGAATCAAGGGTTATAAATAAACACTTGTATAAATTTGGGGATCTGAAAAAAAAAAAAAAATCCAAGTTATTTTCTCTGTTGCTCTTGAAAGCTAAGGGTGAGTAAAATAACCATTGAATAATCTACTCTTAATTGTTATAATTTGGTATTAGAACTGCTAGGGGACGATGGTGACCACAAAGGAGTTTGAGACTCGCATGAATTTTTATGAGAAGAACCTCTTTGATCATCAAGAATTGGTGTAGCAATCACCGGATACGGTGTAGAAATCTATTGAAGGGCTCACGGCGACGATAGCAGCTTTACATACGACCAAGAAAGTCATACAAAAAGAAGAATCTCATGTTGAATCTTCAGAAATGGTTCTTTCGATGGTTGAACAAGCGCAAATCCATTTCCTTCCTTCGATGACTCCAACTTTCATGATTGAAAAGTGAAGGTATAACAGTTCTTTGAACTGGAGGGAACCCTTGATGAACAATGAAGCTGTTTATTGTTGTTATCTATGGATGGCAAGGCTTTTACTTGACAAAGGCATTACATGCAAAGCATCAATAATAAAGGGAAAACTTGGCAACAAATCTTTCAGGATGATGCAGGGAGCAGATTTGATACAGGTGAATTTGATGATCTAGTCCCTAAACTTGCAAGATTGAAATAAGATGGGCCTTACTTGACTATCTTGAAAAGTACGACACGTTGCTAACTAGGATGGCTATCACTGAAGAATTGGCAATGAGTTTCTTTCTTTTCGGATTAACCATCGAGTTAGAAAAATCAGTAAGAGTTCATAGACCAACATCCGTTTAAGAGGCAATTCGAATTGCACGATTACAAGATGAGGTGCTTCAAGAAATGGTAAAGAAATTTTCACTAGAGAAATCAATTAGTTCAGAATCACAGGTGAAATATACAACATCGTGGTCATCTACCTCTCCCAACAATAGACACTATCCAATTACCACTTTGCATCAGAATCAAACTTAACATTCTACAACCTCAACACCAATGATAGAATCAAAGGTATCAACTGCAAACTCTATCTCTTGAAAACAAATTAGTGAAAAGATTGCAAAGAGTTTATGTTGATTTTGTGGTGATAAATGGAATAGAGATCATAAACAAAGGTGTAAGGTGTGCGATAGGTTAAATGCCATTTTTAGTGCACAAAAGCAAATGGTTGTTGAACTCACATAAGAATCAGATGGAGAGCAGGAAACTGAATTAGTTTACCACATTTTAAATTTACTTAGGGATGTAGACATTCATATATCCTTAATGCCTTACAAGGCTTGATTAAGAAACAAGATGTGTCATCGTTAATGGACACAGGAAGTACACACAATTTTGTAAGTGCCAATTGGGTGAAAACACTTGGGCTAAAATCTCAAAACATAAGAAACTTTCCTGTGATGGTCTCATCATATACAGAGTTAGTCATCACTAGAAGTTGTACTCAGGTCAAATGGAAATTTAATGATCATATTTTTCAAGCTGACCTTTTAGTGTTACCTAGCAGCACTTTTGGTGTAATCCTTGGAATGCAATGGTTTAAGACACTAGGACAGATCAGCTGGAACTGTGGCCAATTGACAATGAAATCTGAACACGAAGGAAAACTAGTTTTCCTACAAGGTGAACATCCTTCAAATGATATTGGTGAACTGACAGGTAAACTTAAACCAGCTCAATGTCGAGCTGTGTTGCTGGCACTTCATGGACCAGTCTGCTACAATGATTTTGCAGATAAAACTTTTCACCAATTGCCTCATAGCCAACAATCTGAATTGACTCAACTATTAGAGAACTATCAACAATTATTCAAGGACCCTACAACTCTACCCCCAAAAAGGCAATATGATCATTAGATTTCTTTGGTTAGTGATAAATCATTCTGTTTAAAACCATACAGATATCCACATGCCCAAAAAGAAGAAATCGAAAGACAGGTTAAGGCCCTGCTTACAACTATTTTTATTAGAGAAAGTGGAAACTGTTATGCATCTTTGTTAGTGTTGGTCAAGAAAAAAGATGGTTCCTGGAGATGTTGCATTGATTTCAGAAAACTAAATGCTTTGACAATAAAAAATAGGCTCCCTATACCTTTAATGGAAGATCTATTGGATGAATTAAATGGTGCAAGCTATTTCTCCAAGTTAGATCTATGAAGTGGCTATAACCAAGTAAGAATGGCAGAGACATATATTCATAAAACAACTTTCAGAACTCACAATGGACAATATGAATGGGTGGTCTTACCTTTTGGTTTGAGCAATGCACCAACCACATTTCAAAATTTGATGAACAATATCTTCAAAGGCATCTCAGGAAGTTCATTTTGGTGTTTTCTGATGATATTTTAGTCTACACAAAGACTTGGTCAGATCATATTCAATGTTTGCACCTTGCCCTCCAAATCTTACAAGAACACAGCTTGGTTCTCAACTACAAAAAATGCAGCTTTGGCAAAACAAAAATAGATTACTTGGGCCATTTGATCTCTTTTAAAGGGGTGCAGCCAGAACCAGGTAAGGTTCATGTCATTCAACACTGGCCAAGACCAATGTCAGTCAAGGAATTACGAGATTTTTTGGGCTTATCAGGCTATTATAGAAGGTTTATACACAATTATGGAAAGATTGCTCAACCGTTGACAAAATTACTGCAAAAAGACATAGAGTTTAGATGGAATAAAGAGATAGAAATAGAATTTGCTAGGTTAAAAGAAGCTTTAACATCAGCTCCTGTATTGGCTTTACCAGAGTTTGGTCAACCTTTCACAATAAAAATAGATGCTTCAAGTGTGGGCATTGGTACCGTGCTCCTTCATAAATGCCATCCAATAGTCTACATTAGCAAAGCCATGGGTGCAAAGTATCAACTCCTTTCAGCTTATGAGAAGGAGTTTTATGCTATATTATTTGTGATTAAAAAATGGCAATATTATTTCCTTGGACAACATTTTCTAATAAAGATTGATCAGAAAGCACTAAAACACTTACTTGAGCAACCTTTAACAACATTGATGCAGAATTGAGGACTAGAGAAACTTATGGGTTAGGACTTCATCATCGAATATAAAAAAGGCAAAGACAATGTGGTAGCTAATGCACTATCAAGATAGCAACAACGAGGTAGTTTAGTTGCAATCTTCCACGTTACATCTGAGTTACTAATGGAGGCCAAAGACTCATGGAGAATAGATCCAAAATTGCAGAAGATAGTAGATAAAGTAAGGTTGCATCAAGGATCATACAAGCACTACACATTTGATGAAACAATTCTAAAAATAAAAGGTAAAGTGGTAATTGGGGTAGATCAGAATATAAAAAGAAGAATCATGCACCATTTCCATAACATTGTGATAGGTGGACATTCAGGAGATGACCTAACTTACAAAAGAATTAAACATCAATTTTATTGAAAAGGATTGCATAAAGAAGTCAAAAAATGGGTACAGGAATGTATCACTTGTCAGAAATGACCTAACTTTAGCCACTTTCTATTCTGGATAGAGCTTGGAAATCCATTTCGATGGATTTTATTGTTGGTCTTCCTAAGTCTAATGGCATGATAGTTACCTTTGTGGTTTGTGACAGATTCACAAAGTATGCTCTTTTCACACCATTAGCTCATCCTTTTAGAGCAGCTAAAGTAAGACAAGTATTTCTAGATACTATTGTTAAATTGCATGGTTAGCCATCTGAGATAATTTTTGATAGAGATAGCATTTTTATGAGTGCATTTTGGACTAAGTTGATGAAGCAACATGAGGTGAAGTTGTTGAGGTCCACTGCTTTCCACCCTCAAACAAATGGGAAAACTGAAGCTCTAAACAAAACCTTAGAGGGATATTCAAGATGTGTAACTGGTGATCTACCAAAGAAGTGAACAGAGTATCTTTCTTCGGCAGAGTTATGGTACAACACTACATTCCACACAACAATCAAGATGTCACCATTTGAAGCTTTATATGATTATCCTCCATCAATGCCAAATATTGCAATGCAGGAAGATTCATTAGTCGAAGCAATTGCTTATACTGTGAGAACAAGAGAGCAGATTGCCAAACTTTTACAAGACAACTTACACAAAACCTAAGAAAGGATGAAATAGTATGCTGATCTCAGGTGGGTAGACAAGGAGTTTCAATGTGGAGACCTCGTCTATTTGAAGATACAACCTTATAAACAATTGAGTTTGGCAAATACATCATTCCACAAGTTAGTTGCAAGGTATTATGGCTCTTTTAGGCTGTTGGAGAGAGTTGGCAAGGTGGATTATAAACTGGAGCTACCTGTGCGTACACGAATACATGATGGTTTTCAAGTGTCATTGCTGAAGAAACATCATGGTACTCATTCTGTATCCCAAGAGCTTTGTGTATACAATGAAGAAGGAGAGATGCAGCCATAACCATTGACGGTTTTAGACAAACAAATAAAGAAAAAGGGCAATCGACCTGTTACTAAGGTGCTGATTTAATGGCAGCATACCAACCCCGAAGATGTAGTTTGGAAGGAACTACACAATATGCAACGTGTAACATCCTCAATTTCTTCATTCAAAATAAATAAATTTATAGCAAATAAATAATAATAATAAAATATTTTGTTCTTATTCATGGACTTGGAAATTGCACAAAAATAAAACTTACACTTTCTTCTCATGAAAGTTTCATAAAATTCCAAAATGTTTAAGATTTCCAAGGGAACGATATGAAACTTTAAAGATAATTAATAAAACTTAAGTTTACATCTAGCCACTTATTTGATTTATATTGAATGCATACAAATTTAGAGTTTTCACTAAGGACATTTCCAAAATATTCTTTACAACCAAAATTTGCTTAAGAATTTAAGTTTTAAAATCTGACGTTGAAATCATTTACAAACTTTGGTCAACATAAAATATAATTAGATAAAATAATACAAATTTTCAAATTATCTCAATCCCTACAAAGTACTCTTCCTTCCAATACCCTTGGATTATGATCCTAGAACGAGTCAAACATCTTTATCTCTTCACCTTCATTACCTAAAAATATTAGTAAGGGTGAGTATTGTAACATCTTCATTTCATTTTTCAATAAATTATATTTTTTTAATGTTAAGTGGCAATATAATGCATTTAGATATAAGTTTGGAGGATTTCTAGAGAAGTTTTGGTCTAGGAGATCTCGCTCAAGCGAGGTAGATCTCGCCTAGGCGAGATTAAGCGTGCATGAATATGAAGTTGCAGAGGCATCTCGCTCAAGTGAGATGATTCTCACTCAAGAGAGATAGGATAAATGTTGCTCAAATGTAGCATCGTTCAGGCAAAAGTGATCTCGCTAAGGCAAGATGGGTCGCTTACGTGAGGAATTATAGGAGAAATAACATGCTCTCTGGACACCATTTCGCTCAAGTGAGCATATCAGAAAATAGTAGGCGAGACCACTGTCTGCATATCTCGCTCAGGCGACAAATCTGTTGCTTTAGCGAGATGTCGTCGCTCAAGCGAGCTGTCCCTCACTTAAGCAAGAATGTGTAGGGCTGAGGGTATTTAGGAGATTTCTCGCATGAGAAATTCATTCCGTTTCAAACTCACGTCCTTCTCTCAAGCTTTCTTTAAACTCTCTTTTTCTTTTACCTAGATTAAAGCCTCAGAAACTTTGTTTTCTCTTCAAAGTCAAATTTGGACATTGAAGTTAAGCGATCTCAAGTAAGTTTCTTTGGATTAAACTTGAATTTCTCTGATCGTTTTCATGTTTTTGTTCTTATAGATATCTCTTGATACTCAGGAGAACTTCCATTCGTGAACCTTGATCCTTTTCAATATTTCTCTTTGAGCTCACCTTCGAGGTAAGGAGAGCTTTATTTTATCGTTATAGTACAATATTTATTTTGTGCTCACAAAGCACGGTTACATGAATATTTTATAGGATATCTTTTGTATGAATAATGGGTGAAAAGATGTTTGTTTGATTGTTTGGACTGTTTGGTTGTTTGAATTAAGTGGTTGAAATGTATGTGTATACGTATTATATGATGAGTACTTAATGTGAACGATGATTGAATTTGCTGAATAATTATTATGTGATTGAATGGAGTATGTATGAATGAGATGAAATGATTAAGTTTGAAATTGTACCTATATTCATGAGGATATGAGTGGAATGAAATTAGTCTGGAAGTTCTTTATTAAGCACGATCTTGAGAATGAGAAAGAGAATAACTTTGAGAATGACTCTAAGAGTCGGATTTGGATTTGATCTAGTATGAATAGTTACAGAGATACACTAGGGGTATAGGGTATGGAGACGATAAAAAAATGAGGGAAATGTAGGGTGGTGAGCGACATTCGCGTATGTGCACACACTCTTTTTGAGAGCGACTATGTCATATGGCCTCACTCGTTTCCTGACTAGACTCTTAACTATGCCTTTGCTAAGGAGCCCGATTATTGTACATGTTGTATCTGTGTACATGGGTTAACCAGTGACTATTTACCTAATTGAGTAAGACCTCAAGAAATACTAGGGGCATTGATATCTGTGATCATAATGCACTAGGAGTGCGTATTGAAATAAGAGAATGAATAATCGATAATAAATTGTGAATGATGTGTGTTTAAATATATTTGCTATGTGAAATTAGTGTAAATATGGATATGTTGTAATTATATTATAAATTATGATTTTGTGAGATAATGTTTACAAAGAGATAAAATAGACACTCATCCTTACTAATAATTTCAGGAAATTAGGATGACGAAGCCTCAGGGAAAGATTAGACTAGTAGATAGTTTAATACATTTTAGGTTGAATTATGTATTTAATGAGTATCAGAGAGTAAATTATTTTAAATTTGTTGTACTTATAGAAGATGAACCTAAGGTTCTTGTTATGATAGAAATGAATTTTTCTTGTAGTATCCCATTTGATTTTCCTACGAATAGAATACACCAGACTTTATGTATATATATGTATAGAGGTACGATTAGAAATTCAGCAGCCTTCACTTACCTTTTCACCTGTCATGATCACGACCATCTTGGAAGACTGACCTGATGGACCTTCGAGCAAGTTACTGGCACAGAAGTTAGAGCTGATTCGGGCGATGATTATCTGGGTCCACAGAAATGTTGTCCTACTTCCACTCAGGGATCTCTAAGGATTGCAACAGTTCAGGTGGACGTTGGTGCTCCACTTTCGCCTTCTAACAGGTCAAGCATCTTAACACATACTTAGCCATATCCTTCTTCATCCCATTCCACCAGAAATTCTTACGAAGGTTATGATACATCTTGGTCGCACTGGGGTGGAAACTCATTTTGCTCTTATGCGCTTCCTCAAGTATCATTTGCTTCAACTCATCCACTTGGGAAATACAAACTCGATTTTGGAACTTAATTATCCCATTCTCATCACCCTAATCCCTAAACTCGATTTTGTCACATTATGTCTCGGAGGAACACATCTCCCTGCTAAGAATCTCGAACGTATACCAAGAAGTCATTGTGAATCGTCGCTACTCTGAGATATAAACTCCTTGGCCTTACCTCCATAGCCATATTCATGTACTGAAACTTCTCAATCAATTCTATTTCCTTTACCATCATAGCTGCCACATGCAATGACTTTCTACTCAAAGCATTGGCCACTACATTTGCCTTGCCAAGATGGTAAGACAACAGGAAAATGTAGTCCTTAAGGAATTCCATCCACCTCCTCTATCACATATTCAACTCTCTTTGATCAAATACTTACAACATGAAAATGTAGTCTGTGAGGAATTTCATTCACCTTCTCTGCCGCATGTTCAACTCTCTTTGATCAAATAAGTACTTCAAACTCTTGTGATTACTGAACACTTCAAACCTTACTCCATAAAGGTAATGCCTCCATATCTTAAGAACAAATACCACCACGGCTAATTCCAAATCATGCGTCGGATAGTTGACTTTATGCGAGCGTAATTGTCTTGAGACATAGGCAACCACTCACCCATTTTACATTAGAATACACCCAAGTCCATGTCGAGACGCATCACAATACACATCAAACTTCTGCTCCAGGTCAGGCAAAACTAACACAAGTGCTGAAGTCAACTTCATTTTCAGCTCTAGGAAACTAGGTTCGCACCCTCTGCTCCACTTGAACTCTTTTCCCTTGTAGGTCAACTTCATTAAAGGTAAATCTATTTTAGAAAATCCCTTAATGAACCTCCTATAATAGCCTGCTAGTCCTAGAAAACTGCGGATCTTCATAACATTTTTCAGTCTCGACCATCGGGAGACTGCTTCCACCTTCGTAGGGTCTACTATAATTCCATCTTTAGACACCACGTGCGCCAAAAACTGAATCTGGGACAGCCAAAACTCACACTTGGAGAACTTGGAGTACAACTGCCTATCCCTTAAAATCTGCAAAACAATCCTCCAATGCTTGACATATTTTTCCTGAGTCTTCAAATAAATTAGGATGTCATCAATGAACTCTACCACAAATTTATCTAAAAATTTGTGGAAGATTATGTTCATGTAATCCATGAACACTGCAGGCGCATTGGTCACTCCAAACGGCATCACTAAGTACTCATAGTGACCATAACGCGTCCTGAATGCCGTCTTGGGTACATCCTCATCCTTTACCCTGATTTGATGGTACCCCGATCTCAATCAATTTTTGAAAATACTACTGCTCCCCTTAACTAGTCCATCAAATCATCCATTCTAATAAGTGGATACTTGTTCTTTATCATTACTTTGTTCAACTGCCTGTAGTCTTCACATATCCTCATACTCGCATCTTTCTTCTTCACCAAGAGCACTAGTGCTCCCCATGGCGACACACTCAGTCTCACAAATTACTTCTGTAATAAGTCTTCCACTTGCTTCTTAACCTTTGCCAACTCCACTAGTGACATCCTAAATGGTGCTACAGAAATCAGGCTTGCTCTCGGAATGAGGTCAATCATGAATTCTATCTCCCTCTCAGGTGGCAATTCTGAAACATCTTTAGGGAAGACTTCCAAAATGTCTCTCACCACTGGGATATACTCCAGCTCCATTCTACTTTCGACCTCTAATGAGAACATAACCATAAAGACCCTAACATTCACCGTGTTCTCCCACACATTTTGGTTCAAAAGCCTTGGAATTTCTGACATTGACATGCCAAAAATTAATGACTTTTCTCTGTAGTCTAGCAGCACATGGTTGGCAGCTAGCCAATCCATTCCCAAGATCACGTCTAATTGGGAGAGGGGCAAACAGATTAAGTCTACCTTGAAGTCCCTTCCATGCACCATCACAAAACATCCGAGACACACCCAAGAGGTCACAGCCAGCTTAACCGTAGAGGTAATCACCACAACATTGCACGACAATTCCGTCATATACAAATTCAAACACTTCATACAATCCATGGAAATAAATGAGTGCGTAGCACTCGAGTCAAATAGCACATCCAATAATTTGCCCTTAATTACACATTTATCTCGAATCAGCTCTTTAGATTGTGAAGCCTCTGTCCCACTCATGGCAAGGACACTTCTAGGAATGTTCGGCTTCGGTCCCGTGCTCGGCCCCATGTGCCCTCTCAACTCAAGCCTCTGAGTTATATTCATACTGCCACTCTTCTTAGCAACCCAGCACACATTAGTAGTATGCCCAAACTTCTCCTAGTTGCCATAGTTAGTATGTGGCTATAGGCAATCTCTTAGCATATGTGGTCCTCTACACCTGAAACACTTGATTGGCCCTCTAAAAGAGCCAGAACCTGAGCCACTACCACTGCTCCTCTCCTGCATTGAAGTTCCTCTAGACTGTGAGTGGCTGAAGCTCAAATATGTAGGTCCCTTCCAAAACCTAAAGGGTCTTTTATCTTGCCTCATTGGACCACTCCCTCTAGTGTCCACAGTCTTGCTTTTTGAGTTGGCTTCAAAGATTCTACACTTGCTTACCAGAGTGGGCAAGTCGGTCAGCTGGAATACACTGTCTGCAACTTATATTTCTGGCCTTAGCCCATGCTCAAACTAAGCACACAAGTCCTCATTTCCATCTTCATGCTGATAATGAGGCCAATATTTTATCAACTCTTGAAACTTCGTCGCATATTCTCCCACTGTCATATTTCCTTGTTTCAAATCAAGAAACTCTCTGGCTTTCTGCTTCTTCAGGTCCCGGGGAAAATAGTTTCCTAGGAAGCTTGCCTTGAATGCCTCCCACTGAATATAGCCACTTTCTTGTGGCAAAGTTTGACTGGCAAATGTGGCAAAGTTTGACTGGTAAACCTCTACTAGTCTTCTGCCTCTCCACATAGCATGTAGGTGGCATAGGTTACTTTGTGCTCTTCCCTGCACTCCATTGTATGGAAGATCTTCTCCACATCCGCCACCTACCTTTAGGCTCCTTCAGGGTCAAACTTCTCTTCAAACTTTGGAAGGTTGTGACTAGTAAAGGCAGGTAGCCCTCAATATTCAGCTGGCTCCGCATCTTGGTTGCTCTAATACCATTATTGTAATAGCTCGACAACTTATTCAGAATTAATGACTGTCCCCACAAATTAGCATAAGACTTTTCAGTATGCTTTGTGCTCACTCACACACTTCTTGAGAACTTCCAGAAGGTAACCCATCCCATAATTTTTCCAAGTTAAGCACACTTAACTTTGGAGTTCTTAAGTGATAGGCCACCAAAAAGTAAATGCATTTTGTTGGTATATGTAATCCTAATCAATTCCTTTAAGCTATCCTTAATTGTATACATAGTCTCTCGATCCCTCTCATTCCAGTGTAAGTTTGATTTATTCATGTGTCCCTTACTGCCAGAAGTCTGCCAGGAGCTACTCCTTGTCTATGCCATATTGCACCGGCAATCACTCCTCGCCTGGAAGCCTAACAGGAGCAGTTCATTGTCTGTGCTACAATGCACCGATGATCACTCCTTGCCCTCGCCTAGCGCCTAGATGTCCATGCCCACCAACTTCTGCTTGGTTCGTCCTCAAACCACATCGTACTGGGAGAGAGGTCTGCTCTGATACTATTATTATAACACCTTAAATTTATTTATTTTAGAAATTAAATTTAAGGTGTTACAAAAAGAATGAACAAGCTTTTGGAGAATAAGGGAGTTATCTATCCCTTGCCTTCTAAGTACAAAACTAGTCTGATTTTCTGAAATTAAGATGGGCAAGGAATCCTTAATTCTATGGCTATAAGCTTGGTAACAATCTTATAGCTGACATTACAAAGAGAAATAGCTTGAAAATGATTAACATACTCAGAATTAGTAGATTTGGGAATTAGAGTTAGAGGTGTCAATTTGGCCCCAAGCACACAAGTCCCTTTATACAACTTACTCTACAGCCCTAGTTTTTTTAATCCCCATACATAGTGGGCTTACTCTGGCCCTAAGCCCTAATATATAAACAAAATATAGGCTAGGGTTAGGGTCAAAAGTGAGTTAGCCCACACTTTTTAAAAAGTAATTAATAAATATTATACTATTTTTTTAAATAAAAGACACGTGTTATTTATCATTTTTATTAATATTTTATTTAAATTTAATAAAAATAAATTTTAAAAATAAATTTTTTTATCAATCTAAGATTAACCAAAATTTAAAATTACAAAAATTTTATAATTTTTGCTAAGTTTACAAATTACTTTTTTACATCAATGAATATTGCAATATTAAGTATCATTTGTCTACAATTTTTATGATGAGAATATTGTATTTTTTTTTAACACATTAAATTTTATTTAAATAAATTATTTCAAGTATTTTCATAATATATGACTTAACAAATTTAGCTAATGTTATTTATTTTATTGTCAATTTTGTGTTTTTATTGTAACTTTAAAAATATTCATTGAATACGTGATTTTCTTAAAATAATTTTATAAAAATAAATAAATAAACAAATTTTTTATAGAATAATTAATAAATATTTTTAATAAAAGATACATGTGTTTGTTTATTATTTTTATTAAATTATTTTATTTAAAATTATATTTAAATATAAAAACATATTTTAAAAATTATATTTTTATCAATTCTATCTAATCAAATTATTTTACTTTAAAAATAAATTATATTAAATTAAGATAAGTCAAATTTTAAAATTTTAAACATTCATTAATTTTTACTAAGTTCATAAATTACTTTTCTGCATTCATGAATTTGGTAATATTAAGTATCACATGTCTATGATTTTAACGATGATAATATTATATTTATATTTTTTAGCACATTAAATTTTATTTAAATAAATTATTTTGAACATTTTGATAATTTGATACTAAATGACTTAATAAATTTAATTAATATTATTTTTTGTGAATAATTTTGTATCTCTATTGTTACTTTAAAAATATTTATTAAACATGTGATAAATAAAAATAAATAAATAAAATATAATAGTATAAAAAGATTAAAACATGACAAATTTTATGATTAATACTCAAATAAAATTATAAAATAACATATTAAGAAATTTTATATTTAATAATTTTTTAAAATTAGTTAGCCAATGGGTTAGTCTTAGCCCATTTAATCCCACGGGCTTTTGGGTCTTATGGACTTTTTGGTGAATGGACCTGTCGGTCTTGGCCTACGTGGGTTAGGGCTAAATTAATTAGGACTGTCCCATTTAACACTTATAATTAGAGTTATAGCTGTATTGTTAACATCACCAATAATTTTATGATTACTAAACACATCTAACACAAATTTACAAATAAAAAGGGAAAGATAATTCCATTGATTTTTAAGATGAGAGCATGAAGCATATCCGGGTCAAGAGATTAAAGTTCTCTATACTGAATAAAGCAGATTTAACCTCTTGGATGCTAACAACAGCCTACATTCTCTCCCTATCTAAGTCTCTAAATGGAGGAATGGATGAAGAGGTATGAAGAAAGGACCGAGCAGGATTAGGATCATGATAAAGGGACTTAAAATAATCAACAATCATATTTTCCAGCTTTAGGGAATCATATTTCTAATTATTATTAACATCTTTTAAAGCCTCAATCAAGTTCCTATCTTTACTGTTGATAAGTCTGTAATTATACCATATTTTACAGCCTATATATTCATATTTGACCTTTACTTTATTTGGGGTTTACACTAATTTATATATTAATTATGCAGTTTGGTATAAAGATGCCGCAAGTAGACTTTGGGTGCGTTTTAGGCCCAAATTGATAGAAAATTAAATCTTCACAGCAGTTAGCACGCCCAAACTCTTTCAACAAGCATGGGGGGTACTTTGAGCCCATGCACGGTCATACTTAAGGCCTTGCACGTTCGTGCTCATATATGGAAAGCCCAATTATGAAGAGTCTTTAGGGTTTTCAAACCCTATTAAAAGGGAGACCTCAGACATTGTAAGGGGACCGTTTTTTTCTTGGATTTTGATCTTTATTACACCTTTTCACCTCGTGGATCTTTGGCATGTTCTTGGCGAGACTTGGAGCTTCGAGCGACCGTACTTGAAGACTGAGAACTCATCTCATTCTAGTTTATTTTTCTCTATAGCTTTGTTTATGATTGTTTTAGTTCTTTTCTTCAGGATGAGTAACTAAGTCCATAACTAGGGCTATGGGAACTATCGTTCATGAATTTATGGGATTTTGATGTTTGAATCTAAATTTAATTTCTGTTTTGTGATTAGATTTTATTCTATTGCGCTTCTCTCTTAATCCTAATTAATTATATTGTCAGGTGACCGTATCTTAGTTAATTAATAGATCTATAGGGTAAAATGAGACAAAAGGATTAGGTGGACCAAACCAATCTTTCTCTTTTAATCGTTATTAAATTATCAAGTTCATAGGTTCCTTAAGCTTTCTTAAAATTGATATCTTGCATGACCATTGGAGATGTTAATTTAGAGAAAAGAATATTAATATTACATGACCATTGGATATTAATAGTATTCGTATGAATGATTAGTAATTACAAGGAAATCGGATTTAGAGTAAAACAGAAAAATAATATAAAGGATTGAATGAGAAAACTCATATGCCCTAAGTTCCTCTCTGATAAGTTTAACCAAGACGTGTATTGTATTCATTGCTCTTAGTTTTATAATTGATTTTATAAATTCTTATTTTAATTAATCTCGTATCTTCGGAGCTTAAATAATTGAATTAGGAAATTCTTAGTAATTAGAAATCAATTCTTGTGGGACAATATTTCATAAACTTAATTTAAGAATCCTTTATTACTTCTCGATGGGTACACTTGTCCTCCGAATAAATTTTTGGTGCCGTTGCTGGGGATTATTTTTTTAATATTAAGAAAATCTCGAATTTAATTGATTTGAGCAATTTGTGTTTTGCTTTATTTTAATTTTGTTGTCTATTTTTAATTTTTTTAGCATTTTTGTTTTTATTTTTATTTTTATTTTATTTTATAATTTCTTTTAATGTATGCTCACTCGTTCTAAGTGCTCTATATCTTGTTTATTTGATCCTGAGATTGGCAGAAGGAATAAGATTGATTCAAGATTACGTGACACTTACTGAAAGAGGCACCCTTGGAAGCATCGCGGCCCCTAATGTGAAGGCTAACAATTTTGAACTTAAACCAACACTCATAACTATGGTCCAAAACTCTATACAATTTGGAGGCATGCCTAACAAAGACCTCAATCTCTATCTGACAAAGTTCCTACGATTGACTGATACCATCAAATATAGTGGAGTCTTAAACGATGCTATTCGACTCCGCCTTTTCCCCTTTTTGGTATCTGAAAAGGTGAATGCATGGTTTTCCTTACTTCTAGCCAATTCCATCATAACTTGGGAGGATCTCACTCAACAATTCTTTGGAAAGTATTTTCCTCCATCAAAGTCCTCTAAGCTTATGACAGAAATATGTTGTTTCCAACAATATGAAGCAGAATCCTTATTCGAGGTATGGGAGCGGTTTGGGGAACTTTCAAGGAGATGTCCTCATCATGATTTTCCAATATGGAGAGAAGTACAGATCTTTTATAGTGGCCTATCAATCATTACCAGGGTTACAATTGATGCCGCAGGAGGAGGGTCCCTCATAAGAAAAGATCCAGATGATTCATATAAGCTAATAGATGAGATGGCATCTTCTAGTTTTCAGTAGCACACTGCTGACTCTTATGATATCAAGAGGAAAGAGATCGCCCCGGTCTACCAAGAAGAGAGCAACAGCTCACTAATGAATCAAATGGCAACCCTTGCAAAACAACTAGAATCTTTACTGAAGGCTCAAGATCAACCTGTAAAAGCTCCTGCAAGTCCAAAATTTAAGCAAGAAGAGACAAATTTCATGGGCAATCACAATTCAGGATGAAGGAGTAATCCTTCTAACTCTTGGAGGAATGACTTTGGAAGTCAAAATTCAAGTATTTATCACCCTACCCATATGCAAAATCAAGGAGCAAGACCAGAAGGGAAAGAAACCCCTAGATCTCAGTCCAACTTTCAAGAATAGATGATGCAATATGTGCAATACTCTATAAAAGTATGACAGAGCTTGAATCCAAATTGGACCAACATGTTAAAGAGCTGATAAGAAGTTCACAAAGGTCAAATCTGAGCAAATTTTACAGGCTAACTCTTCTAAGATGAGTGCACAATTAGAGCAAATTACGAACCTTCTGAGTCAAAGAGTGATGGAACACTGCCATCTCAACCTGAACCTAATCCAAGGGAGCAATACAATGCCATCACCCTTAGAATGAGAAAGAAATTACAAGAATCGCAGAACAGAGGCATATGCACACCCATGCTTATTGAAGAGCATGCCTATCCTGATTCTACATGCACACCCATGCTTACTAATAAGCACGCCCATGCTACAATAGAAGCACGACCGTGCTTATACAAGCATGCCCGTGACAATGATCAAAGCACGGCCGTGCATCACTATGAGCAAGATTGTGCTTCAAGCGAAGAGCCTGAAAAGTAGAAAAGGAAGAGACCCTTGTTCAAATCAGGCCCTATAAGCCTAAGATACCTTTCTCACAACAGTTGCAAGGTCACCCTCCTTATGATGAAGAGTTCCACAAGTTCTTAGACTTATTGAGCAAAGTGCACAACAATATGCCTTTAATTGATGCTATCTCCAAAATGTCTAAATATGCTAAATTTTTTAAAGAGATTTTGATTAATAAGAAAAAGTTGAGAGCACATGAAACTGTGAAGCTCACCCATGAGTGTTCAACTATAGTCCTTAAAAAGCTTCCACCTAAGCTTAAGGACCCAGAGAGTTTTACTATTCACTGCATGATTGGAAAAACTCATATTGATAAGGTTTTATGTGATTTAGGAACAAGTATTAATCTTATGCCTTATTCTATTTTCAGAAAGCTTGAAATGCATAAACCTATGCTGATCTCCATGTCACTTCAGCTGGCAGATAGGTCAATCACATACCTCAAAGGCATAATAGAGAATGTACTTGTAAAAGTTAGGGAGTTTATATTTCTGGCTAACTTTGTGGTGCTTGACACGGAGGAAGATAATGATGTCCCCATCATTCTAGGGAGACTGTTCTTGGCCAATGCAAGGGCCATCATAGACATACAAGAAGAGAAGCTCACACTAAGGCTGGATGATAAGGAAGTTGTATTTCAAGTTTTCAATTCTTTCAAGTACCCTTCTAGCCAAGAGTCCTGTCACTTTGTGAGCACTGTGGATGTTACTTCTCCTCCCCTAATTTTTGTGAAGCATGGAACCACAAGAAGAAGGTCAAGGAGGAAGCAATATAAGAAGAAGAAAAGACAAAAGCTTAAATTATCCATTAATAAGTCTCCTAATTTAGAGCTTAAATTTTCTTCTCTTTATTCTAATCCCCATCTTATGAATAATTTTTCTGATGTAATAGGTGTTGGGGAGGCAAAGCTGTTGGGGAGACAATTACATATCAAAGGAGTGACCTCTAAGACTCATGCCTTCTTCCCACCATGATTTAACAGAAACATCAGGCTTGTTACGTTAGTCAAGCGCTCCTAGGAGGCAACCAGTGTCTTTTATTTTATTTAAACTTTATTTCTTTTTGTTTATTTTAATTTTGCATTATAAGCATGGCCTTGCTCCCTCACTTGAAGTCGTCACACTAAGAATTATCAAGGAACTTCTTTCCTTTTGTTCAATTGCCTTATTTGCATGCTTTTAATTTGATTGCTTTCAAACATTGAAGATATTGTTTTGCTTTAAGTGTGGTGGAGTGGTTTCTAATTATATGATTGTTATTGCATATTCTTGAGTAAAGTGTCTATGCTACTCTTTTTATAATAATTTAAAATTTTTCCCTCATCAAACCCAATTTTTCCAGATAGAAGAGCATATTGAGTAATTATTATTGATACTATACTTTCATTTGGAAACTAATAATTAGCTAAGTTCATTACTTTTATGCTCTATGTTAAACTTTAATCCACAGATATGAGTTTTGAGCCTTAAAGGACATTTTTATCTTAATTTAATTAATTGTACCCCTTTCCTCATTATTTTGTGTGATTATCTCCTAAGGATTTGTGCTCTAGAACTTGACTTGGAACTGACTTAAGACTTCTCTTTTTAATTGCATGTTTTTAATGTGATTGAGGCATAATAAGATTTTTATTCTTGGCCTTCAGCATGTTTGAGATACAACTAGTTGCCCACTTTGAGCTTTATTGATTTTCTTGGTCCCTTGCATTAAATTTAAAAAATATTTTGATGACCTTGAGTTTATGAATGAAGCAATTGAGTTGTTGAATTGTTTGATAAATTCTTCTTTATATCTCTCATGTGCAGAAAGAAAAAAAGAAAGAAAGTATGAAAAATAAATGAAAAATAGAAAAGAAAAAGGGTTATATATGATTGAAAGGAAAGAGGAGTAAAGATATTGTTTATATACAAAAATATAAAATTTACTCCAAGAGCTTCATTTGTAAACTTAGGGAATGTTTGTAATCGTATAATTTATTACCCCTTTGTATATCCCCTTCCTTTCATTTGTCTCACCTCAATTATTATAACTCCTTGGCCACATTATAACCTGAAAAAGATCTCATGATTTTTACTTGCATTTAATTTATTTAGTGGAGAGTCGGTTTATAGTCAAGCTTATGGTAGTAAAATTTTCTTTAGGAGAAGTGAGTGATATCTCATTTTGTCCCTTAGTGAGAGAGGAAAGTAGAGCACCTTAGTTTGATGTTTGAGTAAAAAGTATGGAAATATAAGATTCTAATTAGGAATCCCTTAATTGCTTATGTTCAGTGATATTATTCTTGTTTTTCTCTTTATCTCTGTTCTTTAGGGTTCCTTGTTTGGTATTATGTTTCAAGTTATTTTGTTATTCTCTTAACCAGTACTGTACTTGAGGATAAGCAAATAGATAAGTATGAGGAAGTTGATAAGTCTGTAATTATACCTTATTTTACAGCTCATATATTCATATTTGACCTTTACTTTATTTAGAGTTTACACTAATTTATATATTAATTATGCAGTTTGGTATAAAGATGTCGTAAGTAGACTTTAGGTGCATTTTGGCCCAAATTGATGAAAGATTAGAGCTTTACTGCAGTCAGTATGCCCAAACCCTTTCAACAAGCACAGAGGTGCTTCGAGCCTATGCACGGCTGTGCTTAGGACCTTGCACGGCCGTGCTCATCTACGGGAAGCTCAATTATGAAGAGTCTTTAAAGTTTTCAAACTCTATTAAAAGGGAGACCTCAGGCATCGTAAGGTAATCATTTTTTTTTCTTGGCTTTTGCTCTTTAATACACCATTTCAGCTCGAGAATCTTTGGCATGTTCTTGGTGAGACTTGGAGTTTCGAGTGACCGTACTTGAAAATTGAGAACTCATCTTATTTTAGTTTGCTTTTCTCTATGGCTTTGTTTATGATTATTTTAGTTCTTTCCTTTAGCGTGAGTAACTAAGTCGATAGTTAAGGCTATGAGAACTATCGTTCATGAATTTATGGGATTTTGATGTTTGAATCTAAATTTGATTTCCGTTTTGTGATTAGATTTTATTATATTACACTTCTCTCTTAATCCTAATTAATTATATTGTCAGGTGACTATACCTCAGTTAATTTATAGTTTTATAGGGTAAAACGAGACAAAGGATTAGGTAGACCAAACCAATCTTTCTCTTTTAATCGTTATTAAATTATCAAGTTCATAGATTCCTTAAGCTTTCTTAAATTGATATCTTTCATAACCATTGGGGATGTTAATTTAGAGAAAAGAATATTAATATTGCATGACCATTGAGTATTAATAGTATTCATATAAATGATTGGTAATCACAAGAAAATCGGATTTATAGTTAAACAGAAAAATAATATAAAGGATTGAATGAGAAAACTCATGTGCCCTAGATTCCTCTTCGATAAGTTTAACCAAGACGTGCATTGTATTCCTTACTTTTAGTTTTATAATTGATTTTATAAATTCTTGTTTTAATTAATCTCGTATCTTTGAAGCTTAAACAATTAAATTAGGAAATTCTTAGTAATTCGAAATCAATCCTTGTGGGACAATATTTTGGGAACTTAATTTAAAAACCCTTTATTACTTCTCAATAGGTACACTTGTCCTCTGAACAACGGTTAATAGCAGCTTTATGAAAAAATTTGGTATTTCGTTCCTATAAGTTAATCCAATTAGATTGATACTGGTGGTACGAATAACATTCCTCTCGGTCAAGAATTAATTAGTACTCATTCCAAAGAGAGATTCCAAGGTTAAACAAATGAGGATTATTTTCAGTAGCAAGTTTCTTGGTGATACCCTTTATGCGGCTAAAGATCCACTTTTTCGTATAAAAAATATTATCAAAAACATTCTTATTCCAATATGATATATTAATTTTGAATCTAGCTACATTCTCATTCCAAGAGCTAGAACTAATCCACAAGCTTTTTCTCCTGATTTGGGAAATCATTATGAGACAACCAATGAGCAATAAATTTGAAAGATTTGCTAT